CGGCCCCTTCCCCACCCCCCCACCCCACCCCCCGGATTTCTTTCTTAATTCTCTAGAACACTGTAGAGAAGACCACAGGCTTAGGGACACATGCAGGTACACTATCGATGGTTACCTCTGGCCTTTTCTTCCTTCTAGTGAGACCAATCGTGGTGGGGTGGACAAAAGCAGTCTTAGCTCAGATAGTTCTATTTTTTGCATCAAATAATGCTTGTTTGTGATTATTCGCTCAAGTATCTGTCATACGGATATCTGAGTATTTGCTGTAGGGACCGCACGCTCCTTAGGGAAAGGTCCTGGTGTTTTGCTTGGTTCCTAGTAATCCTGGGATCTTTTAGTAATGAAACCCATTGACTCTCCAGCCCTGCCTACTGACTTCCTTGAAATGTGGTAAGCATTTATTATCTGGGACAATGGGAATTTCCTGGGGGATAGGAACTTCCTTCCCCTTTTATCCAGAGGCTGGTGATCCTGCACCCCGTCTCTGGGGCCCTGCCCATGTTTCTGTCAGCAGAGAGGACATGCTGGACTGGCACGAACTGCACGGAGTGAAACAGCAACCACTTCTCTGACTTCTGTTTACTGAACCTCGGTTGTGTTTTTATTTTCTCTTTAGAAAAGAAAGACGTGACTCAGAGCCTAGAGAACTACACCTCCAAGTGCCCTGGGACCATGGAGCTCCTCACTCTCCCCGACGGCCTCACCCTGCCCCCGGTGCCCTTCACCAAGCTCCCCATCGTCAGGTAGTGGGGGCCTTGGAGGCGGGAAGGCGGGTTTCATTCCACAGCATTTCCTTCCGACCGACTGGGAGTAGAGGTCTTTAGAAGAGAGTCCATGTTTGGGTGTCAGCAGTGGCATCGTGTTTAAGGTGCTGGATCCCCACATGGCTGACCACGGTTCAAGTCCCAGACCCAGTAGCTGGAAAATCATGCTGGGTGCATGTGCATGTATGCCCAAAATGCCTGGAGGAGAATGGAGGAGAGGAGAAAGGATTGTGATGTGGCCATCCCCTCTGGGGTGTGATTTCTCACTTTCCCTCTCACTGTCTCTGTGTCTCCCTAGTGAGCACATGCACCCTATGACAAAAACAAAAACAAAAAAATCTAAAAACAAAACAAAACAAAACAAAAAAGAGCTTCCATGTTCATTGGCTGTGTCTGGTCCATCAGACGCACTAGAGTGAGTTCTGTGAAGTAGGTTGAGGCCAGGGACACCCCATTTGCTGTGGCCACAGGTCTAGAAAGGGCAGGTCTGTAGCCAGGGCCTGCCTGCTCTGGAGCCCCATTGTGGCCACCGTGCTGTGCTCTGAAGGGCCGGCTTCAGCGTCGTTGTTAGGACCCTGGACCCCAGGAGCACAGGCAGGGCGGGGGCCGCGGACACTCCAGCTCAGCTCCTTTGCTTGCGCTCAGCCTCAACCTGGCCTTCCTTCCCTGGCCTGCTGTGCCGTGCCCACTCCTGGGGGATGGTTAGTGCTGCTCCTGGGGGGTGGCCAGTGCCGCTCCCGGGGGGTGGTCAGTGTCATCTAGTGCTCGTCCCTCCACAGACCCCTGGGCCTGCCTTGGCATGAAGCGGGGCCTCTGGGTATCACCACAGCTCCTGCCCCGTCTCCCGCAGCCCTGCCGCTGTGCAAACCCTGAAGTTCCCTTTCTGTGCCGCTGTGTCCCAGCCGATCCTGAGCCCGGAGAGGGCAGAGGCCTGGGCACATGCCAAGTGGATACCTAGAAAGTCTGTGAATGAATCCTGTGGAGTGATTTCTGAATTCTGAAAGACACCTGAAAACAAAGATGAAACAGTGAAGTCTGACACTTTGCTGTCGAGTGGGGGCGTCACATCTGATGTGAGGAAGACGTCAGGCTCTCTGAGAGACCCCTGGCATGACTGTTGCCCGGGGGACCCTGACCTGGGCGATGTGGTGGGAGGTTAGAACTCTGACGTCCTGCTGACTGTGGCACGGGACTGAGTCACGTGACCTCCCGTGGGCGTGTGCGTGTCTTACACCCTCCTCTGCTGGGAATTCAAGCTCAAGACGTGCAGTCGTGAGGAGTCAGTGAAGTGGCATGTAAAAGCACGCGGTACTTAGTGAATGCTAGTGTCCCTTCTGCGCCGCCTTGACGGCCAGCGCAAATGAAATGTTTTGACTGTCAAAGTGAGACTTCTCAGCTCTGCTCCCAAGAAGGTTGGGGCAGGGAAGCAGAGGGTGGGGGGCCCGAAGTTCCTGGCAGGCTGCTCTTGATTGGAAGGTGTTCTGAAAGGCCCTCCTCTGGCCATTCATCAGACAGGTGTGGCCAGGAGCAGCCTCAAAGGCTGGGGTGGGCCTGAGACGCCGTCCTGGCTGCTTCCTGGACATCTCAGGAGGTCTGCGCACTACAGCGGGGGTGTGTCTGGAGTGGGTGTGGTGGGGCTGGGGGCCCTGCGGGGCTCTGCGCTCAGCCGTGCAAGCTGCCTCCTCGTCCCCATAGGTGCAGGGGAAGGGTCCTTTGGGCTCTTGGATGAGTAAGACTTGAAGTGGAATGTATTTAATTTGGGATTAAGGGCATGATTCATTTCTTAAAGAGTAGGAAAGATTTTCGTAATAATTTTTATGTGCATCATGACCTGGGCTGTTCTTAAATTCAGAAACCCTTGCACGGTAGGACACTGTGAACCTCGCAGAGCACTCTGCGCTGTTGATGTGCTATTTTTTTTTTTTTTTTTGGAGAGATTTTCACTGTAGGGCGCGTGCGCTCGCCAGACAGACAGAGAGAGACATAGAGACAGAAAGCGAGAAATCACCCCCCAGGGGGGATGGTCACACCGCAATCCCTTCTCCTCCATTCTCCTCTCGGGATCTTGGGCACGCACGCACACGCGCCCGGCGTGAGTTTTAAGCCACCGGGTCCGGGACACGAACCGCGGTCAACTACGTGGGAGTCCAGCGACATAGCCATTACGCTAACTGCTGGTCCCCTTGATGTGCTATTTTTTTGGGAGAGGTTTTCGCTATAGGGCACGTGTGCTCGCCAGACAGACAGAGACAGACAGAGAGACAGGAAGCGAGAAATCACCCCCCAGAGGGGATGGTCACACCACAATCCCTTCTCCTCTCGGGATCTTGGGCACGCACGCACAAGCGCCCGGCATGAGTTTTAAGCCACTGGGTCCAGGACGTGAACCGCGGTCGACTACGTGGGATTCCAGCGACATAGCCATTATGCTAACTGCTGGTCTCATTGATGTGCTATTTTTTTTAAAGAAGTTTCTGTCTTTAGTGTTTTCTGAGAGAGACAGACAGAGAGAAGCTGGAAGCTGTGGCAGGGTCCTACCACACCTTGGCCTCTCCCTAGTCATCTTATCAGCTGGGATCCCAGGCCTGCCTGGAGTGTTCAGGCTCCCTGGGATCCGAACCCCCGGCCTGCCCAGTGGCTCCGGCACCCTCAATGCAGCGCCCTCCCGCCAGCCGCCACAGCTCGGCCTTGATGCTGCGTGCTTTCCCAGCGCGGGCCTCTCATCAGTGAAGGTGGGAGGCTTACCTCTTGTGGTCCTTAGAACCAAGGGTGAAAGGTGCTATGCCCTCCCCGGAGATGGCAGAGGGCACTGGGCTCTGGTCTGGGGAGCAGCCCTGGCTGCTCAGGGAAGCCTGAGCCCCGCTGCTTCCTCACCAGCAGGTGGCCTTGGGCAAGGGAGGAGCCACTTAGAGCTTTGTTTTTCTCATCTTTAACGTGGGCTGGAATTTGACCCCAGAGTGGTCTGGCTTTGCTCGGCTGATACTCATAGGAGCAGGCACCCAGGGCCTGGCCCCGGGAAAGCACTGGGTGCTCTGGGCCTCTTCCTGAATAGCACAGTACTTGGAAAACGGAAAACGCACTTAATTTGAGAGTAAGACTTCAGTCCTGGCTGTTTAAGAGCAGCAGAGCGCACAGCTTGGGCCAAGGCGGGTTAAAACCGGCCACCGGTTTGGCAAGTGCCGCATCCTGTGTTGTGCAGCTGGTCCCTTTGCTCTCCCGGTGTTGGGGAGCCCCGCAGGGCACAGCTCGCTGAGTCCGCCTGGTGTCCTGGTGCGTTTCTCCTGGGGTGGTCCTGGCCTGTTTTCACAGGTCTGGTTCTGTGTGGTACCGCCATCTGCGTAGGCGTGTCCTTGCGGCTCTCTGAGACCTTCAGCTAGAGAAATAAGCACGCCGGGCGCGGTGGCTCCTTCTCTGTGTCGGTCACAGCCGGTGTCATCAGAAGCTGGAAGAGCCACCATGCAGGGCTCACTGGAGCATCAGCACCATGGGCCACGTGGAGGGGAGCGTCCTCGGGAGCCGCGGAAAGCCAGCAGCTCGCGCCTGCTCTGCTCCTGACGCCTGGCAGCGTCCAGCGTGGCGACTCGGCCGTCTGCGGCCTGCTCTGCCTCCAGGCTTGGGTGAGCTCCTGATGAGCCGGACCCTGCGAAGGGCACTCCCGCTTTGTCCAGCTTCGTCTTCTTGGCTCCCTTTACTCTGCCTGATGATGTCTAGTCGTCTTTCAGGATTTCATTTGAGGATTATACCCTCCCGGAAGCCCTCTTTAAGCCACTCAGGTAGAGGTGTACCAGTCAGGAATTACGTCATCCGTGGAGGGCAGAACGTTTAGCAGAGGCTAGCCAACAGCAGGTGCCTGCTCTCTGCTCATTAAGCAGCTAGAAACAGGTGTCCTCTCTGCAGTCTGTCTTTACCTCATGCTTACCAGGTGGCTGCTGCAGCTCCAGATAACACGTTTGCATCCAAGACTGAAGAAGGGAGAGGAGGTTTAGAGGTATCTATCGTTTGTTTAATAAGAAAGCAAAAGTGTCCTTGATGAATTTGTAGTGGCCTCCTGTCCCAGTCTCCCTGACTAGAGGCCATAGCTATCTCTACTTGCAGGAAAAGTCGAGAAAATAAGTAGTAGGTAATAGAGGTGAGCACGAGGGAAGGGTCAGAAATTGGTGCTTGGCTGGCCAGCCGGCAACGTGTGTCCTGCCCTTCTCTGAGCCCCTACGGATTTGCCTGTAGTCTTGCTGACATTTGGGGTCCTTTTCTTTGACTAGAATTTCTCCACAGAGCTCTTTCTCTTCATGGCCCTCTAGGGCCTCAGTGAATGAATACATGGATGTACCCACTAGAATTCTGTGTGGGGATTGATAGGAAACCTGGCCTGACCCAGGCACAGAGAGAAATTACAGCGCGTGTCTGAAAAGCCCAGAGAGGAATTCAGGTAGGGCTTGGGCTGGGGGGTTCCAACGAGCTCCTGAAAATGTGGTTTCTCTCCCTTCTCAGCTCTGCCCCTGTTGTGCGGGCTTCAGTTTCAGGTCCCGGTGGTCTCAGAGTGGCAGTAGCAGCCCCAGCCCTCACATCCTTCTCCCCAGCATCCAGGAAAGAGAGGAGGTCCCTTGGTAACATCAGGAGAGACAAAGCTCCTCCCCTCCTGGAGCTCTCGCAGTCCTCCTTGCTTTCCGCTGCTCCTGTGGGGTGCCAGACGCAGGGCCCTCAGGTGAGCGTGCAGCTCCCGGAAAGCTGCGCCTCAGCACCACTGGGCACAGACGCGAGAGACAGATGTCAGAGAGGGTGACAGCAAGAGCCACTCCAGCAGACGGTGTGTGGTCCCACCTCCCCACGGTGTCGCCCACACTAAGCGTCTGGTTTTGGGGCCAGAGGTGGTGTGGCGGCTAAGGCCCTGTGCTCCCATGTGGCTGAGTGCAGTGCGAGTCCCGGACCATGGCTTGGCTATCACACTGGGTGTGCGTGCGCGTGTCCAGAATTGCTAGAGG